ACGCCCCACGGAGGCCGCGGCAGAGGGGACCCGGAGGCGTGACACGGACAGGGCTGGCAGCGGGAGGAGATGGGGGTCTCCGCAGCGCTGGGACCTCTGTCCCTGGGTCCTGAGCGGCGCCGGGTGTCCTGGAGAGCTCTGCTGTGGCCAGAGCTGTGGCGCACCGGGCACCAGGGAGAGCTGGCGGCCGGCTGGAGGACGAGCATTGCCACCAGAGACCCCAAGAGACATTTGGGGTTCACGGGTGGAGATCTCCACCCTGCAGTGAAGCCTGCCTTGATTTGGGCGGTTTTGAGGAGGGAGGAAGGAGACCGAGTGATGGGTTAATCCAGAGAGGGGGAGTCCCCCGTGAGACCCGCCCAGCCACCCTCCTTCTGTCAGGGCTGGTCTGGGGGTCTCACACCGCCCACCCTTGGCAAGTGGCCTTGACAACAGCCCCTGCTAAAAGAAGGTGATAATGAACAGGTGATACTTGTCTGAAGGGTGTTTGCCCAAAACTGGATACGTTAAGGAGGAAGGCGACCATCAGCCGGATTAAATAGTGACCAGGGAATTCTAACAGGGAATTTCAAAGCCAAGAAGGTGTCGGCTTGAAAGGGATCGTCAGCACTCCCCGGATGAGGGAGGGACCATGGAGGAGCAACGGCAGGAGTCCAAGGCTGTTGGACGCTGCCAAAAGCAGCCCTGCCAGCATCCCAACCTGCACCCGGCCCTGGCAGGGCGTCCTCCCGGTCGGATGCTGTGAGCAGCCTGCAGCCAGCTCCTGGGCTGACGGCATGGGGAGCACCAGGCAGGGACAGAGCCAGAGTCAGGGTTGGGGAGGCTGGAAGGCGCCTCTGGAGACGATCTAGTCCAACCCCTGCTCAAGCAGGGTCAGCGACGGGACCGTGTCCGGCTGGGTTTTGGGTATCTCCGAGGGTGGAGACTCCGCCGCCTCTCTGGGCAGCCTGCGACAGTGTTTGACCACCCTCGCTGTAAGGAAAAAGAAAGTTTTTTCTTATGTTCGGGTGGGATTTGCTGCGCTTCAGTTTGTGCCCGTCGCCTCTTGTCCTGTCGCTGGGCACCACTGGGAAGAGCCTGGCTCCACCTTCTCCGCACTCCCCATCAGGTCTTTAGACGCACGGACAAGATCCCCCTGAGCCTTCTCTCCTCCAGGCGGAACAGTCCCGGCTCAACCAGCCTCCCTCTCCTCATACGGAAGGTGCTCCAGCTCCTTCGTCACCTCCACGGCCCTTCGCTGGGCTCTCCCCAGTATGCGCCTGTCTCTCTCTACTGGGGAGCCTGGGCTGGACCCAGCGCCCAGACGCGTCCCGGCAGGGCTGAGAGGGGGGAAGGATCCGATGATCCCCTCCCTCCACCTCCTCCCGGGAGGCTGGTGGCCGTCTTTGCCCTGAGGACACCTTGCTGGCTCACGGCCAACTTGGCCAACCAGGGAGCCAGCGCCGGGGGGTGCGGGTGTGAATTCGGGGGGTGCTTTCCCCCTGGCGCCCGCACGAGTGGGCGATGGGCAGCAGCAGCGGGTGCGGCTGAGGCCAGAGCACCCCCGAACCCAAAGGCAGGGGTGTGCAGGCGGGGAACCTGCCCTCCCGGGAGGGGCGGGGGTGCTGGCAGCCCCCCCTCCTCTGGGTGGTGTGTGGTTAGGACTTCTCGGGACCGGTTAGCGAAGGGTATTATCTGGAATTTCTTATTTATTTAACATTTTGGGTCGAAACTGTGCTTTATCGCTTGTCTTCCTGATACTGAGCCTGCGTGCCCAGGTCACTGCTTTCTGGTTAATTAGATGCCGTTAAACAGATATAAATAAACCCGCAATCCTGATTGGCTTTGACGATGTGAAGGGAAAAGTTTATTTCCCCGTGGCAGCTGGCAACAGCGCCGGTGCCCCGGGAGCCTTTGCAGGGCAGCACGGAGCCAGCACCCCCCTGTCACGCCGGAGGGGGCCTGATCGGCCCCGTCTGCCCTCGGCCGGCCAGGGACCGGCACTGGGTTTTTCAAGGACAAAGACCTTTTCTGTGACCACCTCGCGTCTCTTATCAGCCATGCCCAACAGCGGTGGCCAGCAGCAGGGCACCGTCGGGGCTTGACGCATCCCCGGGGGCAGCGTGATGCAACGCCCTGCAATCGGAGCAGGCAGAAGGTTCCTGTGAAACAGCGGGGTCGGGGCCGGCTGGCCAGACAGCG